CACAGCAACATGGCACAAGTATACATATGTAACAAACCTGCACGTTATGCACATGTACCCTAGAACTTAAAGTATAATAATAATAAAAAATAAAAAAAATTAAAAAAAAAAAAGTCTCTCATCAAATAAAAGACCCAGAACCTGACAGCTTCACTGCTGAACGCTATCGAACATTTAAAGAACTACGGCCAGGCACGGTGGCTCACATCTGTTATCCCAGCACTTTGGGAGGCTTAGGTGGTAGGATTGCTTAAGCACAGGAGTTTGAGACCAGCCTGGGCAACATAGGGATAATCTGTCTCTACAAAAAATAAAAAATTAGCTGGGTGTGGTGATGCATGTTGGTGGTCCAAACTACTCGGGAGGCTGAGGTGGCAGAATTAATTCAGCCCAGGCGGTGAAGGCTGCAGCGAGCCGTGATAGTGCCACTGCACTCCAGCCTGGGCAACAGGGCAAGACCCCCATCTCAAAAAAGGAAGAATAGCAGCCCTTCTCAAACTCTTCCAAAAAATTGAAGAGGAAGGAATGCTTCCAAACTCATTTTACAAGGCCAGCATTACCCTGACACCAAAGTCAGACAAGGACACTATTAAAGAAAACTTGTCAATTAGACTGTGGCAAATATGGAAAAAAAGAAAAAAGAAAGCTACAGGTCAATATTTCTGATGACCACAGATGCAAACATTCTTTTTTTTTTTTTTTTCTGAGACAGGGTCTCCCTCTGTTACCCAGGATGGAGTGCAGTGGTGCAATCATGGCTCACTGCAGCCTTGACCTTTCAGACTCAGGTGATCCTTCCACCTCAGCCTCCTGAGTAGCTGGGACTTCAGGTGCACACCATCATGCCCAGCTAATTAAAAACAAAAAATTATTCATCTAGGCAGGGTCCCATTATGTTGTCCAGGCTGGTCTCGAACTCCTGGGTCAAGCCAGCCTCAGGCCTTGAGCACCTAAAAGTGCTGAGATTACAAGTGTGAGCCACAATGCCTGGTCAAGATGCAAAAATTTTCAACAAAATACTAGTAAACCAATTCAACAGCACATTGAAAAGATTAATCACCATGACCAAGTAATATTTATGTCAGGGATTCACAGATGGTTCAACATACGCCAATCTATAAATATAATATACCACATGAACAGAATGAAAGACAAAAACCATATGATCATCTCAATAGATGCAGAAAAAGCATTTGACAAAATTTAACATACTTTCACAATAAAAAAGCTCTCAACAAATTAGAAGGAGTACACCTCAAAAGTAAAGGCCATATGTAACAAACCC